TATATATATATATATATATATATATATATATATATATGTTTATAGATATGCCAAGTTCAAAGTACAATCCTTAGTTTAGAAGTGAGTTTTCGAGACTAGCCGTAGATCAAATATATGAGGTTTATTCGCTCTATTATGTTAAGGTGATGTAGTAATTGTTGTTCAATTTTCCCACAATTGTAGGAATAGGCTTTATGTTTTTATTGTATTAGGTGAACATCATTTGACGCTCAATCGCACTTTATCAGAAACGACGAAGCATCTCTCGTGAACTACGTCAATCTAAACAAGGTATCGAGGCAAGGCGGCTGCAAAAGAACCAGAACCGGCCGTTGTCTTGGAGGAAAAATTATACTGCTCTAAGCGGATGTATGCCTGAGTCAAGTTGCGAAAACGAGGTCATACAAACTCATTGTCGCAAAATGGGTTGGCTACCAAATCCAAGTCAACCAGACATCATATCTACCTTCTACTACTTAAGTGTAATTAAGGCACATTTTTTTAACAGTTTAGTTTGCTTTATTATTTTTCTCGCAAGTGTGTAGGTTTTCGAGACTACCAGTACATCAGATATATTAATTGTATTCACCCTATTTTGTTTGAGGCTATGAAGGACTGGTAGTTGATTTTTCCCACAATCATATGAGTAGGGCTGACTTACAAAAAAAGTAAAGTCGTCGATTGCTATATCAAATATACGTTTGCTTCATCGACAATTCCAGCATAGAATGCGATATGAAAAATGCCGGACGTTCCTTGAAATTCACATCTGCTCTGTGACCAAACAGGACTTGTGACAATGTGGTGAAATTGTTAACATGTCGAGCTTACCCACTGCTCGATGTGAAATTCAATGGAGACGTCAGCTCTACTCATATGATTGTGGCAGATAGGGTGAATACAACTTATTATTTTTAGTCATTTGAGTTATTATTGATACAGTATTGTGCATTTACAGAATAAAGACTCATCAATAATAATGACCTTTTCGGCTTAAACTCAGGTGCCTGGTTGACGAAAGCAGTAGCTCTGCCAGCGGTATCATTCGAGTGGAGTCGCCATGCCATTCGGTGGGCAAGTATATGTGCCGTGATGGAACTTGTCGCGATCGTATTCTCTTCTGTAATGGCATAGCAGACTGCGCCGACTCCAGCGATGAAGAGCCTCCTCACTGTTGTAAGTCTGCCCAACTTTTTTATCCGCTCATTCCTGCCGTTTGTCTACGCCAGTCCCTTCCAAATCAATCAGCCTCGGGCGACCTGTCAACTCATGGGCCCTGAGCTTGAATCCCGTCGGGTGTCGGGAACTCCGTCAACATTAAGGTCAAACCGCGACTAGTTTACTTGCTTTCGGTAGAAGTGGTTTTCGAGGCTGTTAGTAATTCTATAATCAGAACTTAGTCGTTTCTATGGTTGCATTTTCCCACACAATCAGACGAGCAGTCGTCAGGATGCCGTTATAATCACACAAAAGCATATTTTATCCAGACTGTACTCAACAGAACTGCAGTTTCGACCCCGTGCTTCATCACTACCTCGGACGGGATCCGAATTTAGGTTAAGGCGGTCGTGGGTATGTAGTCACGGGTACAAATAAAGCAAAGGGCAGATGTGATATTCAAGGCCAGCCATACTTTCATAATTGGAGCATCAATTAAGTCAATAGTGTTTGTAGTTGCAATCGAACACGGTAGTTATTTTAAATGTCGGCAGTTTTCGAAACTATTCTTTATTTTTGACTAA